ATAAAGGGGAAACGAATATTTTGAATACAATGCCGTCAGGTCGCAACTCCACCCAATAAATCTAGCCGTAATCCATGTATTTAAGATTTTAATATACATATGTTAAGTCCTTTCGACCTTCAAGCCTTCTTTCAAGGTTAGTGTGAATAGGCAATTTATTTATCACATCGTCATTTCAACGTGGTTACTGACAGCTCAACAGAAGTCCAAACTTGGGGTCTGCATCCTGAGAGTCAAATTATCAGGTCGAATTAGAAACAGTGATCTGCGCTCCAAAACACGAATCGCAGATATGGGCCAACAAGCGGGTAAATTATAATGGAACTGGGCGGGCCACGTCTGTCGCAAATCCACCTCAGAATGGATCCCCAAAGACAGGCAACGACCACGCGGTATCCCAAAGCGCCGATGGAGAGACGAGCTAGACACGCGCAGAGACTGGACCTCAGTGGCATCAAGCAGAGCGGGGCTTAAAAAATCGTCATTTGTCATCAAGTGACATTGGGTTAAATGCTTGATCACGCTATTTTCTACTACCATACCTTCTCTTTCGTTCTTCAGGCTTTTATTATTTCTTGGCATTGTTTGGGAAAAGCGCTATATATTACACTCGTCTCTTCAGGTATTAGCTGACTTACTGGCGTCTATTATGCATTTTGAGAGAAGTACTTGCCACCTTACCTATTTCTGCCGCCCAACAGTAATTAATATTAACATTAGGTTTAGATGCGTGCTGGTAAAACTATAGGACACATGAGACTTATCAACTTATGTCTCGGGTTGACAGACGCAGTGGGAGTGCCCCTCAGATCTTTGCGATTTAACGCTCTGAGTTGCACCACAAGTAATGTGTACCACCAGGCGCACGACTTGACATTTATAAAAAAACTATTTGTGAAAAAAAATTTCATATCCCACTGCTGGGCAAAGGTATCCCCCAAAATCTTCCATTGCTCCCTGTCTTTGGCGATCTCCCACCGTCCCTTTCCATCCTCGAGCACCCAAGGACGACGTTCGCCCACTTCTCGGGTTGCAACCAGCTAAAGTGGGCCGCCCAATCTCATTTGAGCCTGACGGTTTTGCTCCCCACATCAGCAATGCCTATCATCGAACGCAGCATTTGTATTGCGTACTCGGTCAATACGTTTAAAGCCCAGAATGCTGCGTTCCATCGCCCTCTGGCAGATCTTGGGTTTCGACTTTTGCAACTTATTAGTAAAAATCAAATAATCTTTATTTCATAGGGGTTTACGAAAGTAGCCTCCCAGCTCCATTGGCAAATGCTCTCACGACTATGGCAAGCATTATTGTAAGCATGCCATCGATACGATAATAAGATTATGTCATAGATTCGCAAAGCAGATTCCCCTGAGAAGAATGAGCAAAAAAATCTAGGGGCCGTCGTAAATAAACACTATTACACATTTATCATTATTACACATAATCAACACGTCCAAAAGTACCTGAGTTCCTTCGACAAGCAGAAAAAGAACGTAAGTTAATAAGAAAACTCACTGACACAGAAAATGAGAATCGGGACGGCCCGAAAATTCTGCGATTTTTCCATACATCGGCACACGTAAGGCGGCCCTTTTAATCTCCTCCGTAATTAAGGCGCAAGCTGTCGTCGGATTCCGGCGAGCCAATTTGTTAGGCAAAACGTTCAGACATAATAGTAGGCTTGTACTGCGATGAAGGGTGATAGGGGCTAATAACCATTTATCTTTTGAGTTTACTGAGGTTTTCACTAAACTGCTTTTAAAACGGTTAACTTTATTTGCTACAAAAACAGAGCGGCTTAAGTCAATCTTCAGGACAACGGAACTTCCTATATCCTTATTAAATGTTATGTATATACATACAGGGTTTAACTGCCTCCGTGGCCGAACGGTTACCGTGCCGGATTGCCACGCAGAGGTCCCAGGTTCGATTCCCGGGCCGGGAGAAATAGTTGTATGGCCTACAATTATTTCTCTCGTGAGTTTGGGTGTAATTTGTGATTGTCTATGTATGTGCCCATGGCACCCGCGACACAGGGTTTCCCTAGTGCGGGGCTATGTTGAGTGTGTGCGTTATTATTATATTATTATTATTATGTGTGTTATGCGATAACTCATTTGGCAGGCATTTGTGAACCCTTTTGCTGTCTCTTTTTTTGTTGGAAAGAGGGTACCTCAGTATTGATCCCATTTAATTTAAAAAAAATATTCCACATCTAAGGGTGGTAAACCACCTCTAGGAGGTTGAGAACCTCCTCCTATTTTTTGATGATTTTTCCTATTGTCGGTTAAAAACAAATAAACGCAATTTAGATCTCAAAAAATAATTTCATATTTTCTTATGATTTGTCTGTTAATAAAGTCGCTTTAGACTGGAAAATCTTGTTGGTATACTAAAGTAACGTAATCATAGGTACTGGTTGTAGAGTCTAAGAAATTGTAGTGCTTAATTTGTATGCTGTAATTTTCTAATAAACACAAAAGCCCGTGGTTCGCGGTGACAAACGAGGGTATGTAAATTCGGTACATGTCGCGCCGACACGAGATGATGTCGCACAATTAGTGCCTCGAGCCATTTGATTTATGGCTGGTATGTTCAGGGCTCGTAATCACTTTTGTGGATATGTATGATGTTGACGAAGATACCAACGACAAATGTCATAATTGTCAGTTAAAAGTTATACCTTTCGTCATTTGCATAGCGTACAAATTCGATGTATCAAAATTGTCTTCGTTTTGCATCGGACTGGGTATTTAAGCTCTAAATATGAATCATAATTAAGTGTCCATATTGTAAACAAAGGAGATAAGCGAATAAAAATACGTTTTAAATGGTAGTTTTCTATTTTTGACGGTAAAAAACGTTTGGAATTTTATTCAAGCGGTAATCTGATAAAACTTAAAACAATACACATTTTGCAATATTTATATTTTTGATATCGTTGTATACAATGATTACAATAAAAGATTATGTAAATAATTTTGTGACACTGGTAACACAATCAGGATCAAAACATTTTTTGTGCCGCCATTTTGTCGTGTCATAGATGTCATTCCTGTTTGGTTTCTCAATGTCGTACGTTTACATGTCTCCGTAGTGCGTTTGTTAGATTTATATTTTGTAATAGATAATTAAAATTGCAGAAAATGTTCACCTCTTTTCCCAATACCGTTAAAAATACAAGGTTTAGTATACCAGCATTCACACTGTATTGGGCATTACAAAGAGAAGACATCACTTTACTTGTAAACATTGTTTATTGATATTCCAGTCAAAACTTAAATAGTACAAATTTCGAATGCCTTATAGACATCTCATGTGAACACTTTGATAGCGTGTTTCAGGATACTAGTAATGTTATCCAGTATCGACGCGCGGTACTAAACTTCTGCAACACTTATTTCGACAATGACATTTCTTTGTTTACATTTTGGACATCTAAATAGATGATGCCTACTAAGCGCTTTCTTTTGTTACCACAGTACTATAACCGTGTAGAGCGTTATATTTAAAGATTTTGAAACTTGTGGTTTACGTAAGTAATATAGACCTGAGAGGTTGTTAGTATTTTATAAATAACACTGTATAATGTTTCTCCTAAATATATACAACACAAACTACCACTCCACTTCAAGTAACCTAATTTATTCATCCAAAATTCAAGATATTATTCTCCCGAAATAAGTGGCCTAGCGTTTTGAATGCCAAACATGCCCTTGGCGGAGGCATGTCAACCGCAATAGTGTTTGTGTAATAATTGTGGCTCTCAAGTAACACAGATTTATTGCCCAGGTCTTAACGTAGGGGTGGGTTATTAACGACCTATTTACGACGGAAAATTTGTCTTGTGTTAAATTCTTGACCGTTGGTGTACTAGACACTTTGACGTATGGTTTAAAATGTTTTATATTTCGTCATTCCTCAGGAGTAACCACCACAATGCGAACTGCTGTGGCCCGTGTGGAAGTCGTTAAACCGACGTACTCAGATAGGTTACTGCAGATTCAAGATATGTAAATGGGTGCTAATCTAAGCAAAAGCTACTGCAAAGCTCCAACATAGTCCATACAGTGCCCAAACATCAGCATTCTGGAAGATCTCAATACAGCTCCAAATAGAGAAATCAAGGTAGCAATATATTTTTGTAAGGCAATGTAATGGAATCGATATAAAGATGAAGAAGATGCGCTTTGCTCGGTTGAAAGTGACGTCACGACGTCAAGATATTTTTCTTCGCTAACGGCCATGTTCCTGAAAGTTCTGCGTGGTGCTATGAACGACCGGTTTCCGTTTTGTTAAGTTTTCATCTTCTTTTAGAGTAATTGAAAAAGGAAGAACATTGCGGATAATTCCTTGGTCACATCAAGAAGTTCTGTCGCAAGATAGGTTAATAGAAATGACGTACGAGGTGCACCTTCCTTTCGCATCGAGTAGACAAAGAACACAGCTGCTCAACTGCTGTGATCCAAATACATAACTTTCGCCTTATCAGCACGCATCAACTTATTGGTCTTCCTATCGTATCGATGGCATACACTATACTATTGCAGCCCAGAACGCAGCCACGCTGAACGCGTCAATAGTAGCCGCCATTAAAGCCTTAAGTATAGGCATACGGAACACAATGTGAGATGAGCCATCGTTTAAATCGTATTACACAAACAATCCATGTTAGAACCATCCAAAAATCCCCATCAGAACAAATTATCCTTCCTCCGACTACCCTGAATCCGAAGCCTATTGAAAGACTTCTTTTGAGTAAATAGCTTCTTGGTTAAGGTTACTTGACCGGGCCTTTATTTCCGACGTATTCAATTTGATTTTAAATCTTATTCGTCAATCTTCTTCAAAATATGTATGCAATTTGACCCTTAAACTGTTTATTACGTTGCGAGTACCGCAAAATGTTTCGATCATCAATCGAGTTCTTGTGCGAAGAACACAATTCGAAAATATTAACTTATTTTGGACATGTTTACTGATGTGGTTATAAGACTTACCCTTGTGCGTGACCTCGTTCCTTGTTGATAATCCGAACCAAAGCCTCTTCCCTGCAACAAACAAAAGATTAATAAACATACAATTGGGAGATATAACATTTGAAATTCGGCTGTGTGGTCTATGCTGTGTTTTCTACTTAAGAAGAAGACGAATATAATTTTGCTGCCTTCTGCAACTAACAACCTTGTTGTAATAAAGGCACATATGATAATAAGTCAAAACTGCTTAAATAGCAGAAGATTTTCCAGAGGTTCCAGTTTTGAAGTGTAAGGGTGTTGATGAAATTACAGGCAAACGGGAGTTATCTATATATTTACGATTTAAACTTCTGAGTAGCACTGCCACTGCTACGCATGGGCGTGTCGCATGTTAGGCGCACAATTTGCTCGTCTCATGAATTCGTATCATAAAAAATAGTTCTGTCGCATGAAAGTTTACTTTATATCACTATTTTTGAAAAGCTAGGAACTTAGAAAAAGTGCTAAATACACGATAGGTTATTTTATCCGCTCACGCGATACATGCAGCCGTAGACGCATACCACACCTA